CCTCTTTTTAGAACCCTGCCCCCCCCCCACTCTAATGCCTGCGCCCCCCTCTGTGCCTCCCATGAATGGCGGGCGCTGTGCGGGCTGAACCAGCTGTCCCGGTTGGGAAAGACAGCAGCCGAGCTGGTGATCAGGGTGGATCTGAGCATCCCTCACCTGCCCCAGGGCCGAGCCCAGACCCAGGGCGGGTGGACAAAGGGAGGCCCTTCCTGACCTCCTGACCCGTCCAGGCGGACACCCAGGGCCCAGGCTGGGCGTGGTGGGAGCCCCACGGTGGATGAACGTGGAGGTTGCTGGGGTCAGGGTGGGTCTGGGTCCCTCAGCCAAGACGACTAGCTGGTCCCCTCGCCCCCCTAATTCTTGAGGAATGAGGAGAGCCCCGCCTCCCTTCTCCAGTGCCTCTGCCCTCACTCACTCCCCTCTGACTCCGGCCCAGGACTCCCACCTCCACCCTCTCTGGGGTGTGAGGGTCCCTGGAAGATGTACACGTGCGTGTCGCCTATTTTAGCTAAAGCCTGGGCGCTAGAGACACCCCTCCCTAAATTGTCCCTTCAGCTGCTGGGTGGGGTCCTTGGCCTGAGGAAGGGGCCAGGTGCAGGGCCTCGACCCAGACCAGTGTGTGTGGTGGTCACGCCGCCAGCCCAGGCTCACGCTGCCCTCTCCCCTCTTCCCAGCCCTGTGCTCAGGCCAGGTCTTCACCGAGCGGTCTGGGGTGATCAGCAGCCCGGAATACCCACAGCCGTACCCCAAACTCTCCAGCTGCACCTACAGCATCCGCCTGGAGGAGGGGTTCAGTGTCATCCTGGACTTCGTGGAGTCCTTCGACGTGGAGGCACACCCCGAAACCCAGTGCCCCTACGACTCCCTCAAGGTCTGGTTCCCGGGCCCTCACCTCATCCTGACCCCTGCAGGTCCTGGGGTGACCGGCGCTCCCCTTCTTTCAGATTCAGACAGACAAGAAGGAATTCGGCCCATTCTGTGGGAAGACGTTGCCCAGCAGGATTGAAACCAAGAGCAACGCTGTGACCGTGACCTTTGTAACTGACCAGTCGGGGGACCACACCGGCTGGAAGGTCCACTACACCAGCACAGGTGCGGGCGGGCAGGACGCGTGGCGCTCCCGTCTCTTCCCGGCACGTCTGACAGGGTGGGGGGCGTCCGGCCCGTGGGCTGTATAAACTCTGAGAAATCTCTTGGTCTGGCCCTGCCAAGGCATTAGCAGTGAGTTAAATGTTTGACCAAATATAGCAGGCTAATGTAAAACATACATGTTTTCATTGATTTCAGAGAGGAAGGGAGAGGGAGAGAAACATCAATGATGAGAGAGAATCATTGATTGGCTGCCTCCTGCACACGCCCTACTGAGGATTGGGCCCAAAACCTGGGCATGTGCCCTGACTAGGAATCAACTCCCCTCTTCTTTTTTAACAAATATATTTGTATTGATTTCAGAGAGGAAGGGAGAGGGGGAGATAGAAACATCAATGACAGAGGCTCATTGATAAGCTGCCTCCGGCCCACCCCTGCTGGGAATGAGCCCCCGACGATTGAAATTGAACCGGGGACCCTCCAGTCCCAGTCCCCCAGGCCGCCGCCCTATCCACTGAGCCAAACGGCCAGGGCCCGGCTTCCTTAGGCAGCTTTGGCTGGAGCCCAGGCCAGACAGCACACCCCAATGTGCACAACACGCAACCGAGCGCCCACCCCGCTTTGGGGTTAAGTCCGGAGAGCTCCCCCTTCCGTGTTAAGTGTCTCCTTTATAAACCAAGAACCTCAAACGCTCAGTTCCGGGGACTCACCGGCCATGGACCCCTCAGAACCCACAGCCTGGCTTCCTCCCGCAGCTCAGCCGTGCCCTGGTCCGGTGGCGCCACCTCATGGCCGCATCGCACCGGTGCAAGCCACGTACATCCTGAAAGACCGCTTCTCCGTGGTGTGCGCCGCTGGCTACGAGCTCCTGCGGGTGAGTGGCCGCTGGGCGGGGAGCGGCGGCCGTGGTCGTTTCCAAAGGTGTGCACGTTCCTGTCAGCAGACACGCAGCAGGAAAACGGCTGTTGTCGGCCTGGGTGTGTGTTTTGTTTGCTGAGAAGAGGGATGGCTCCGGGAATTTTTATTCTTAGGATGACCTAACGCAGTGGTTCTCAACCTTCCCAATGCCGCGACCCTTTAATACAGTCCCTCATGTTGTAGTGACCCCCAACCATAAAATTATTTCCGTTGCTACTTCATCACTGTAATGTTGCTACTGTTATGAATCGTCATGTAAACATCTGAAGTGCAGGATGTATTTGCATTGTTACAAATTGAACATAAAGCATAGTGATTAACCACAAAAACAATATGTAATTATATATGTGTTTTCCGATGGTCTTAGGCGACCCCTGTGAAAGGGTCGTTCGACCCGCAAAGGGGTCGCGACCCACAGGTTGAGAACCACCGACCTAACGGAACAACTCCTGGGCCCACAAAAAATTAAAAAATTAAACGCGCTGGGAAGTAGTGTGTCCCGCAAAGTTATAAATAGTGGCCACTGTTGGGGGAGCGGGAGGATTTTTTAAAGACGCTTAGTGTGTTGCTGCAGGGGCACAGGTAGGAGACTAACACGCCCCCTTTATGTTCTTCAGAATGGTCACTGAGTCCCAGTGGTCCAAAGTAATAACAGGAAATGGCAGCGAGGTGTGCAGTGCAGTCCTGCTGGGGGTGGGAAAAGTGCCACCTTGCCACCTTGCAGACTTTGGGGCGGGCTCTTCGCAGCCCCTTGGACCGCAAACCTGCTCCGTTGCTGATTTTTAAAAAATCACCCCGCTGTCCTTTGAAGCACAAGGCTCTGCAGGAGCCATCTTCTCTCACAGCCTGGTCTTAGGAAGCTACTGCGGTTGGTCAGCAGTGCTTCTCTGGGCGCAGCGGCTAGAGCGTCGGCCTGTGGACGGGAGGGTCCCGGGTTCGGTTCCGGTCAAGGGCACATACCTGGTTGCAGGCTCCTCTCTGGCCTGGGCCCTGGTTGGGGCGCATGCAGGAGCCAAGCAATATCTTTTTCTCCCATCGTTATTTCTCTTTTCCTCTCTCTTCCACTCTCTCTAAAAATCAATGGAAAAATATCCCCCGGTGAGGACTTTAAAAAGAAAAATGCGTCTCTGTAAGCGCGATCAGCCATCAACAGAGAACTCGGGTAGCTCTCCTCCAGAAAAGGCCGCAGGCGAGGAAACCCAGACACATTTGCTCAGTGTCGCACGGGGCTGGCCTTCCCCCCGCTTCTGACCGCCTCCCCATGCACGTCACAGAAGAGAGAGATGGTGGAGAATCCGCAGGGGCTCAGCCTTTGGTTCTAAAATGCCAAGGCACCTTGACAGCTGGTGTACCCCGCAGTCGCCGGCACCACGCACCGGCAGGGAGGCAGAGTTGGCTGTGTGTCCGGTCATGGGGGTGCATCGTCCCCTCGGGAGCATCTGGTGATGAAACACTAGAAGAGGAACTAACTTCTGTGGGGGCGTAGGTTTGGGGGCGTGATTTTTCTGATGTAAACAACGAAATTAATATTTTCTCTTCCTCTTTAGGGTCATTTGCCCCTGAGATCATTTACTGCCGTCTGCCAGAAGGATGGATCTTGGGACCAGCCGATGCCAGAATGCAGCAGTACGGTCACATGACAACCCCAGAGCTTCTGCTGCTGTCACTGCTTCTATTGCTGCTGCTGCCTTTGTGAAAAGGATACTATTTTTCGGGGGTTGAATTCCAAATTTGCTTCTCTTCCCTGGCTCTCAGTGCACTCTTAGAGGTTAAAATGAAACCGAGCTAGTAGGATGATTACAGTGGGGCCTTGACTTACCAGTGTCCTAACGAGTTTTTCGAGGTACGAGCCGTCTCTCGGCTGATTTTTTGCTTTGAGTTGCGAGCTAAAATTCGGGTTACGAGCCAGCTTCAGATACCCCACCGCTAGTTGGCGCAGCGAACGTCACAGTGAACGCCACAACCTCAGCCCAGCATCACGTGTCTCACTCGTTCACAATTGATTTGACTTAGGAGTAATTTGAGTTACGAGCTCCGTCGCGGAACAAATTAAACTCGTAAGTCAAGGCCCCACTGTATTTCCTTTTAATTGATTTTAGGGAGAGAAGAAGGGAGCGGGAGGGAGAAATATCCATGTGAGAGAGAAACACTGCCCCGGCCAGGGATTGAACCCGAAACCTGGGTATGTGCCCTGACCAGAAATCAAACCTGACACTCTTCCACACATGGAGCAGCGCTCAACCAACTGAGCCACACTGGCCAGGGCAATTGTTTGCTTTAAAAAAGTGTGATCTTTAAAAAAATATGTTTTCTAAGTATAAAATCCTTATAGAAGATGGGAAATAGAGAAAATGACATTGTAATACCTATAATCCCACAGTACAACTCTAATCACTATTTTGGTGTATATGTCTCACATATGCACACAGGTTTAGGCTACTGCATGTAGGGATGGGGTAGTTGTGTGGACACACACACACCAAACTGAGACCATGGTGTACTACCATTTTGTGAACTAAGAATCATGTATCTGACCTTGAATATATTTTCAATTATAAAATACACGTTGATTGGAAAATATGTTTACAAAAATATATAGTAAAAGCCACTCTTGACTAAATCCCTAAACTACCACTGAGTTTGGGGTCTACTCCTTCATATTCTTTATCTCCTATGTTACATATATTAACATATTTCACTATTATATGCTTTTTTTTCAAACTATAAGTTTAATAGAAAATTACACAGCCTGGCCGGCAAGGCTCAGTGGTTGAGCATCAGCCTATGAACCAGGTCACAGTTCGATTCCCAGTCAGGGCATATGTTTGGGTTGCAGACTCCATCCCCAATGGGGCATGAAGGGAGCAGCCAATCAATGATTCTCTCTTGCCATTAATGTTTCTATCTCTCTCTCTCCCTCTCCCTTCCTCTCTGAAATCAATAGAAATATATTTTAAAAAATTATAGAGAGGTAGAAGTGATCCGTAGAAGAAATGGGCTAAGGAAATGAGTTACAGGGGCCGAAGGGCCCTTGGAGCTTAGGAGAAAGGCAAAGGTAACTGACAGGGCTGGGGATTGAGCCTGCAACTGAGGTATGTACCCTTGACTGGAATCGAGCCTGGGACCCTTCAGTCCACCGGCTGACTCTCTATCCACTGAGCCAAACTGGCTAGGACTATTATTATTATTTTTAACCAAAATGGGATACTTAATGATTGCAGTTGCTCTTCTCCATCTTGTTGGGCTATCTTCCCACATCAGTTTAGGTATTAATAGGGCCTCTCATTCTTGTTAATGACCGTTCAGCATTTCATCACACCATGCTTTTATTTAATTTTTCATTGCCCTCCCCCTTTTTTTTTACTGTTACAGGCACTTGCTGTAGTTAACACCATGTACATGTATTTTTGTATATTTTGTGTAAGTATTTCTACAAAATGCCTGGGGGAATTAAATATTTTTATTTCATAAATTTACATTCCCACCTATTCTTTCAGTTAAAAAAGCAGCAGACAAGTTCTAAAGGCAGTGGAAGCCAGAGGGCTGGGTTTGAGCCCTGCTTCGGCTATTTTTGGTTGGGTAGTTATGGCGTCTCATAGACAATTAGGCAATGCAGACAAAGCACTTGGCAGAGCCAGGCACACAGATACTGCTGGAAATGATTTGAATGCAGTCTTTGAATACCTACAGATATGCATCAACGATTTTATACACCCACTGTGTGGAGACATTTAGCACTGTCTCACAGATTGGTTACTTCCTTCCTATTAGCAATGTCCCAAGTGTGAATTCGAATCCAAATTCAAGGACTTCCAGGTCTCCTAGAAAGTTCAATTTATGAGGCCTGGCCTGTGGGGCTCAGTTGGTTGGAGCATCATCCGTACAACAGAAGGTGGCGGTTGGATTCCTGGTCTGGGCACACACACAGGCTGTGGGTTCCATCGCCGGTTGGGGCGTGCAGGAGGCAGCCAACTCCTTTCTCTCTCTAACAATAGGTTCAATTAGGAAAGGGATCCTGGGAACAAGCTGCCCCTTCAGAGTCAGCTTTGTCTGGCCGTTTGAGTGCCCTTTTGGGGGAGCTAGACAGTGCAGGCTGTGCCGCCTCCTCCCTCCTGCGGCTGCAGACCTTCCTGTCAGAAGTGAGAGCGTGGAGGAAGTCGTGTGGTTTCAGATCCCCTTCCTTGAGGAAAGGCCTCACGCCACCCCCGCAGGGACTGCGCCCCAACCCAGCACCACAGGGCTCACGGTCTGTCGGTGTCCACATCTCTCTGTTAGAATTAAAAGCAGAAACGGACTCCTCCCTCCCCCTTGTTCACTAGTTGTTGAGTGTGGCCCTCCTGATGACCTGCCCAACGGCCGAGTGGAGTACCTCGCGGGCTCTGAGGTGACCACGTACAAAGCGGAGATTCAGTACCGCTGCACTGAGACCTTCTACACAATGGCAAGAGGTGATGGTAAGCACGTTGCTCCAAGCTGGGGGTGGGTGCTGCCTGGAACCGAATCCCTCACCATCTGAAAAGAAACTGCAGCCAACATTTTGGCTAAGGCTGGACAAAAGATTAAAAGGCACTTCTCCCACCAGCTAAGTGAAATATTACAGCTGAAGTGACTTTAATGTCAATTTGCAAGAATCTGAAAACAGATCTTATCTAGTAAATGACTACTACAAACACACAATATATTCCAAATGGTTTAATTTAACAAGTCAAAACCTTATCATTAAGCACTTGAGATCTTGATACATATTCAAGTTACACATCTAAAAGGTTTCCACTTTGCAAGCAAACATGGTAATGCCGAGACCTCCCGTTTAGGAAATCATGTAAAATGGTTATTCAGACACCTCTATTTCCCACGGATGCTCAGGAATCAACATTTTTAAGGGGGTATTCAAGCAAACGACAACCACCTCATACATGCAGTTAAACATTTTTGCTTTTCCAATGATTTGCAGGTAAATACGTGTGTGAGGCTGATGGATTCTGGACGAGCTCCAAAGGAGAAACATCACTCCCGGTCTGTGAGCCTGGTAATGGACACATTCATACAAGAGATTCGTAATTGATGGAAAGTGGAATGGGTCGGAGACAATAAGTAGAGCTTTAGCTGTGGTAGGCAGAAATGTAACTTCGGTACTTGGCTCTTAGACCCAGTTATTATTTCCAAATAATACGTCCTCATTATCCCCTTTCCATGTGGAGAGGTTGTTAGGTGCTGACTGCATCAGTCATTTGATTATTTTGGCCTTACAACTAGGCAAGCATAAAAAATTAAATGATTTTTTAAATTATCTTGAACCATTTATACATTTATAAACTTAAGTTCCTCTGTTGTTACTTTTCTTCCCTGTTAAAAATGCTATTAAAACCCAAAGCTAATAACTTCATTATTTCCCTAAGCAATTGTTTTCAATGACATCTAATTTTTAAACATTAATGCAATTTGCCTTTTAATAGTACTTAAAATCTTTTTTTACTAGAATTGGCTCTGAAGATATAGTTGAGTAGATATTAAAAAAATCAGAAAGGTAATAATATATTCATTACCCCTGTGTTATTTGGCTTAAATTAGTTATTTGATTTTAGCTGACACCACGTTTACAAGTTTCAATGCAAGTATTCTGCCACAGTAGGAGACATTTGGTACATTGAGTGTATTCCCTTAGTAATATAGAGTAAAACTTAGTGTTTGAAAGCATCAACTAGATGACAAATAATTTCTGACCCTGACGGTTCCTGGCTATAGCTGCGACATTCTAATTTGTAAAACCTTTAAATGTTCAAAAGTCAAATTAATTTTGCCAATCCGATGACAGTGACCTGGTTGCTGCTTTCACAGAACCACATGGTGAACACCCCATTTTAAAGTGGGATAACAGAAGCAATGAAAAGGTTATTTCCTTCCATTTCCTATTCACATCACCCAATGCATCAGCTCAGCCAATTCCCGCTTGCCCTCATAAATAACCCAACTGTGTAGACCTTTTATTTTTTGCAAAACCAATATAGCTTCTAAATTTTACCCACCTCATTTTCTGAGGAGCTAAGAACTCCCCCTTGGGTCTTTGAACTGTGCTGTTTTAAGCTAGCCTCACCTGCCTGTACAGGTGGGCACCCACCGATTTCGGTGATACCATTTTGGGTTGACATGAAATATTAACAAGTCCGAAGAGGTGGGTGGAGAAAAGCACCACTGGGTTTCTACCAAGGCTCTGCTATCTGCCTCTCCCCCCAGTTTGTGGACTATCGGCCCGTACAACAGGAGGTCGTATCTACGGAGGGCAACATGCAAAGCTTGGCGATTTTCCTTGGCAAGTCCTGCTGTTAGTAGGCGACACCACAGCAGCAGGTGCACTTTTGAATGACAACTGGATCCTAACGGCTGCTCATGCCGTATACGAGCAAAAAGAAGACGCCTCCTCCCTGAACATTCGAATGGGTGCCCTGAAGAGACTGTCGCCTCATCACACACAAGCCTGGGCAGAGGCCATTTTCATCCATGAGGGCTACAGGCATGCTGCTGGTTTCGATAACGACATAGCGCTGATTAAACTGCAGAACAAAGTTGCCATCAACAGCAGCATCATGCCTATCTGCCTGCCAGGCGAAGCAGCTGAATCCTTCATGAGGACAAATGACATTGGAACTGTATCCGGATGGGGATTAACCCAAAGGGGTTTTCTTGCCCGAAGTCTGAAGTTTGTTGACATACCAATTGTTGATCATCAAACATGTGCTGCTGCCTATGAAAAGAAGCTGCATCCAGCGGCAAAGGTAACTGACAACATGCTCTGTGCTGGCTTAGAGAGTGGGGGCAAGGATAGCTGTGGAGGCGACAGTGGAGGGGCATTAGTGTTTCTCGACAATGAGACACACAGGTGGTTTGTGGGAGGAATAGTGTCCTGGGGCTCCAATAATTGTGGGGAAGCACAAGTGTATGGGGTTTACACAAAAGTCATTAACTATATTCCCTGGATCAAGAAAATAATGAATAACTTTTAATTTGTATGTTTTCAATCAGTAAATGCCTTTTAAAAATGCCTGTAAAAGATCGCAGCAGCAATGTGACCCGAGGAACATTAGTACAGCCACTGTCGCCCGCCCACCCAAAAACCAAAACCGAACTGCAGGGAGAGGCTGGCCAGCGTTTCACCCTTTACGTTGTGGTTCACGGGGGTGTGAACACAGCGATGTTCGTCTTTGCCGGAGCAATAGGAACTCACTGGTCAGATTGCACTGTGTTACTTAGAGTCCAGTATCCTTTTGTACTGGTTTTTATTGCATTTCCGGAAATGGCCTGTACGTGGTCTTTGAGTATTTTTCGACTTATTCTTATGGATCTCTAAGAGCTTTATATATCACGGCAGTATTAGTTCAGGGTAACCCTGAATCATAGATTTTTGTAGATGAAGTAGAAACATCAATACTTTAGCCTAGGTACTAATTTCCATGTTAAAAACCAGTATCACAAAAACAGCGATATAATTTTGCACTTATCAAATTGGTAGACAAAATGAACATGGAGTAGCACTATTCACATTGTCAAAGACAACACAAATTTTCTAAAGGAAAATTTTGCAATGTATTTCAAAAGCCTTAAAAGCATGCATAGTCTTTAACCTAGTAATTTCAATGCTAAGAACTTAATTTAGCCATGCTCCCAGCACTTGGAAATAACCTAAATAATGTTCAAATTCAGAAGACAATGGAATTAAATGTGGCATTTCCATAAGATGAAATATGACACCAGAAGTAAATGGTGGCACTATAGATAAATCTGTATTTTTTTTTCCTTCTTATGATAAACATGTAAAAGAGGGTCAGTTAGCCAAACAATAGATCACAGATCACACAATACCTGAGTATACAACCTGAATACACAATTAAGAGCTACTGTCCTAGTATTCAACAACAAATTATTCTATTTATCACATACACCTCCCAAATTAAGTAGTTAACTTCTTTTTCCTAAGGACAAAATTTAAGGTCCGTCTTAAGCTTAAAAATATTTCATTTTAGTTGGCTAGTCCTTCCTAAAAAGATTTAATAGCTAACATCTAACAAAGCTTTTCATTCTAGCCAGTTACCATTGTATTTAAAAATTCATTGTGAGTTTTGCCCTAATTTCTCTTGTGCATGTAAAGTGCAACTTCTTGAGACTCACTTTTTAAAGGTAACTTTACAGCATCTTTGTCACATATAAAAAGGAAACTGTGTTTTTCCAGTAAGACTCCAGACACTAAACTGGTGGCAACAAAAATTTTTATTCAACTGGTTCAAAAAATGTTTAGAATGAATGCATTCAGATGACCAAATAGACTTTAAAAACAAATCTTTGCCAAATAGTTTACTTCTAAACTTCAAAAAAAAAAAATTTAGGGTAGAATTAAATGCCCACAGCTATGTATTACCACAAACATTTTGAGAAGGCTACTCAACATTGAAAGCCTTCCAGACCAGCTACTAGGTTTACACAAGTAAAGAGGGATTAAAACCATGCCATCGACAAGGTAACTTACCCCTGCGCTCCTTGAAGGCTTGTCAGTTTAGTCTTTGGAGGTCCCCGAATACCATTTTAAGTGTTACCATGTTACTGCTGCTGAGTAAGAGTGCAAGTGCTAAAATGCAAAATTCAGATGGTACAGGGTTTGGAAATCATGCAATTTAGATGCAGAAAAAAAAAAACAACTGCAAGATCCTTTTACAGAGGAAACTGAATCATGAAACAATGTGGCGATCACAAGTCTAAAGGATGACTTCACTTTATAAAAGTTTAAAACATGTAATTTGCAAAAATCCTATTTATCATAATCTAATTAGATAAGGGCATTAGGTAAACTATCAACACAAGAACTGTTACATTCTTCCATTAGGAAACAAGCTCAACTCTCATAGCAGTAGTTACATAAAAAGTACAATAATCAATATATTATCGCTTTTACATACTTAACAATGCATCGTGAGAGTCTAATCTGAGTTTTGTAAACGATTTTATTCAGCAGG